ACATGGGAAAACCAGCAGAGCCAAAGTCACCTGGCCAGCAGTGGCCTGGCCAGCTCTCGGTGGAAGGAAGCAAACGGTGATGCTCTCCATGACCAGTGGGGCACATTTGCCCTGGACCCGTGCTCCTGGCATTTAATTCCCCAGAATGACCACCTTCCAAGGGTGAGCCCCCTGGTCTCCGTGTGCTGGCCCTCCTGCTTGTTTATTTGTCTGTGTGTGGAGATGTGTCCACTCTCTGCTGGGTGAAGCTCGCCTGTCCATGCTGTGACTGTGACCTGTGTCTCTCAGCCTGGGAAAACCTCATCACCAGTGGTCCCACGGGGTGGGAGTGGGGGGTGGTTTTTGCCTTCCAGATGGAAGCCTAGGCCCTGTGAGGTTCAGGCTTCTGTCGCAGTCCCACAGCACAGCCGAGACCTCTCTGCACAAGGTCTGGAGCCAAGGCCAGGCTGTCCCCGCTGTGTCAATTTGCATCAGGCACAGAAGGCTCAGGGTGAGTGCCTGCCATCTCTCAATTAGAAAGAATTCAACAATAGCTTATTATGTGAGAAAACAATACTTTTCTCCAACATACCGAGTACAATGTGTGCTCCCTCTGTCAGCCTTGAGCTCAAATATTAATCTTCTGTTCTTTGTTCAATTGATTTATAACTATCTGTGCATATATATTAATCTCTATTCACCCGTCTATTCATCTGTCAACTCATCCAACCACCCATTCATCCATCCATCCACCAGTCCACCCACCCAATCACTCATCCATTCCTCTGGTCATCTATCCATTCACCAGTCTACACCATAACCACTCATCTGTTCATGCACCCACCCACCGGTCAACCTACCCACCCTCTCATCTGTCTTTCCATCCATTTATGCATCCAACGACCCCTGGGCTCATCCATCTCTCCAACTATCCATCCGTCCATCCATCCATCCATCCGTCCGTCCGTCCGTCCATCCATCCATCCATCCATCCATCCACCATAAATCCATCATCTATCTTTCCAACCATCCATCCATCATCCATCCATCCATCCATCCACCCACCCATCCACCCACCCATCCACCTATCCATCCATCGTCCATCCATCATCCATCGACCCACCTACCCACCCATCTTCCTTTCCATTTATCTGTTTGTTTGATACAATTCAAGAGAAACTAGTCCTCATTCTCCTTGTGTAACAGTCACAGTCCCCTGGCCAGGGCTGAGCACTCAGTTGGTGCATAAATTCTTTCTTAAATTCTTGCCCACTTGAGACCATCTCTTACTGAGAATGGAAGTCATACTTTAACTGAAAGGCTGAGCTGGCATGGAGGCAGGAATACCAATATCTATTGGCTGGTGATTGGAACCCAACAGCTTCTCCCTCAGAAGAAAGATGGACAGTCTCCTCCCATCAAGATTTGTTGTTGTTGTTGTTAGGTGCCACTGTGGCAAGTACAACTCCTACTGACCCTACACCAATCCTTGTGGTCTCCGGCACACTTGGGCCCATTGCTGCAGTCACTGTGTCCATCCATCTGGTTGAGGGTCTTCCTCTCCTTCACTGACCCTCCGCCTTTCCAAGCATGATGACCTTCCTCAAGGACCAGTGTCTCCTAGACACTGATAGAGGGTCGTCAGAACCAACTCAGCAGCAGGTTTTGAGTCGGAACCAACCAGCCCAGGGACTCACATCAGCTCAGCGCCGGCTCCTAGCAGCTGTGTACGGAGTAGAACTACACTGCATGCTTCTCAGTGGCTGGTTTTGGAGAGGAGATTCCCAGGCCTTTACTCCCAAGGGACCTTGCTGGGGGGACTCAAAACCCCAACTCTGGAGCAAGTAAGGTGGGCTGTAAGCCTGATGATCTCTCCTGGGCTGTTTAAAGAGCAGAGTGGACACAGACACACACAGAGAAGACAGATGTGGACAGTCCAAGAGTCAGGGAAAGTAAGAGACCTTGGTGTACACTTTCAGTCTCTGGAGCTGAGAGAGAAAATAAATTTCTGGGTTTTCAGTCCACTCACCCCTGTGGTATTTCAGCACCAACAAGCTAAGACACGTCTTGGATTTGTTGCTGTTCTTGTGCAGTTAAGCTCCTCGCCCCATCACTTCTGCCAGCTCTTGTTGTCAGGTGTCATTGGGTCAACTACAAGTCATAATGACCCAGTGAACAACAGATGGGGAACCTGTCCTATGCTGCACCACCCCCACCTTCCCTGATACACTCGGGCCCGTTGTTACAGTCACTGCGTCAGCCCGTCTTGTTGGAGGTCTTCCTCTGACCCTCCACCTTGCCAAGCATGATGGCTTTTCCCCAAGGATTGACCCCTTGAGAGGATGCCCATAGTATGAGCAGCTTCACCACGCTTGTGCCGATAGAGCATCCTGGTCGCACTTCTCTCAAGACAGAATTGTTCATTTGGTGTCCATGGGATTCTCATGACTCTTCTCCAGCATCACAGCTCAAACACATCAATTCTGCCGTCCTTGTTCATTGTCCGGCATTCAGAAGCACATTCATTAATGTGGCTGCATAAGAAGGACCTCAGGTAGACAGCAGAGGGCGCCCTTGAGAGCATCACGCGTAACCCTGGAAACAGGATGCAAGCTGCTTCCATCAGCCAGGAGAGATGCAGTCACAGACCTCCTCAGACTCATGCTGCGGGGTTTCAGGGGCTGTGCGTCCCGATCCCACAGGTCTCACCGCAGGGAGATCCCCACAAGGCCGTGATTTCAGTAGGTTCAAGAGCACTCCACAACAATGCTCATTTATGGGTGAATAGACCAGGAATGAAAGTCAAGTGCTGGGTGGTTCCGTGAAAATGCTTGAGGAAACTGCCTTTTCTGGGAATAGATGGCAGTGTGGCTCAGATAGGAATGCAAGTCTCTGCAAAGTTGCCCAGTTCTCCGAGCATAAATGCAGGGCCTCTGGTGGTGCAGTGGTTAAGCCGTCAACTGTTGAGAGGTCAGCATTTGGCACCCCCAACAGCTACTCCTCAGGAGAGGGCCGGTGCTGCCTGCTTCTGTAGAGACGCCAGCCTTGGAATCCCTGTGGGCAGCTCTGCTCTGGCCAGTGGGACCACTGCAAGTCAGAACCAAGGTGGTGGTACAGATTTGTCATTTTGATTGTTGCAGTCTGTTGAAGGCTCAACGACTGTTGGTGGCTCTGGATGGTAGGAAGTTGCCTTTTGTCATTTTTTTGTACTTTCCTATGTTGTTAGGTGCTATCGAGTCGAGTCTGACTCCTAGCGACCCTGTGACCAACATACCTGCGCCCTGTTCTGTCCTGTGCCGCCCTCATCAGACACATTTGACCGCATTGCTACAGACACTGTGGAAGTCAATCTGGTTGGGGGTCTTCCTCTCTCGATGCCCCTCCACCTTTGTCTCCCGTACTTGGGCATGTTGCTAGGAGAGGCTGTTCCTCGGACAGGGACTTTCCTGTAGCGTGGTCCCACCGCTGCCGCGTCTGCTCCGAGTCAGAGCCGCCCAGCAGGACGGGGAGGACTGTGAATCTTTACAATAACAAACGGCCTCCTCTTTCTCTGGAGGAACCGCTGGCAGGTTTGTGCCTCTGACCTTTCTGCTGGCAGATTAATGCTTAATTCACTGCACCACCAGGGCTCCTTCCATGCCGTGTCAGCCCATCTCTAGTCACCACAACAACATAATGCATCTGAAGGCTTGGAAGTGACAATGCTGTGTGTAGAATCGTAAGAATTCCCAGTGACAGCACAATGTTAGTTCTCAGACCCGGGCAAGTCCGACGTCCTCTCCACAGGGCAGGGTGGGAGTCCTCCAACTCCCCACCAGGGTGGGCTCCATCCTCTTAGCTCCTGCGCGGCTGCCCCGCCAGGGTGGTGACCTCATGCCGTGTAAACGGACTGTCTTACCTCTGCTCTCCCAGGCGCGCTCCCAGGCTGCACACACTGAATGCTGGTGTCTCTACAGCCTGATACCTCGTGTCTAGCAAGACGCCCCTCAGTGCGGTGGAGCAGAGGTGGAGGCGGGCAGCGTGTGCCTCCCCTTCTGACAGTGGCCCTGCCTGAGCCCTCCTGGGAAGGGGAGGCCTTGACTGTGGGCGGTGTGTTCTGACCTCCTGACTCCTAGGCTGTTGGTGGGGTGCTGTCAGGTTGATTCTGACCCTTAGTCACCCCGAGTTCAGCAGAATGAAACGCAGCACAATCCCACAGCACCCCATGATCGTCCCCGTGTTGGGCCCTCATGGCAGCCACTGTGTCAGGCCAGCTTGTCAAGGGTCTTCCTTTCTCCTTTACCGAGCGTGAGTCCCTCTCCAGGGACGGGGCCTTCCTGATACCATGTCAGAGCAAGGGAGCCGCAGCTAATCAGCCCTGCTTCTAAGGAACGTTCTGACTGTGTCCTTCCAAGACGGAACACAGCCTTTCGGACAGTCCGTGGTGTCTTTAATGTTCTTGCCCATCCACGTAACTAAGAGGCATCAGTTCTTCTTCGGTCTTCTTATCCCTCATCCAGCTTTGCGTGCGCATAAAGCCGTACACGGTGCCGCAGCACCACGGCTCCACGCCTTCTGACGCACTGAAGGGTCAGGCGCACTGAGCTTCTGAAACTCACCGTGTAGAGAGCCGCGCTGAAACCTGCCTCGGCCTCCGTTTTCTTTGGCTAATGACCCACGTGTCACTGGAGTCATCCCAGAGTTGTTCGATCCACAGTGACCGCAGGACTGTGAGGTGGTGGGAGCTGTCCACTGTGGCCTCCAGCTCTTTGAGCTCATCTTTCCCCTCTCCTTTTTAAAAATTAAATTTAATGAACATTTACAGAGACTCAGGGTCTCCAGTCATTCATTATTGCACTTTTCTCCCTGCCCACCCCCTCCCAATTCACTTTTCTCCTTGATGAGGAAAAGAAACGCTCTTTCATTGCTATCGAGCTCATCTTTAAAGGTCTGCACCGTGCCTGGCAAGCTGTGGACTCGGCAAGCAGTGCACTCGGCCTGCCTGGGACTGGTTCTCGAGCATGTGCCTTTCTGTCCTTCAGAGACGCCCCTGACCCTGGCCGCCCAGCTGGATGACTCCGTGGAGATGATCAAAGCACTTAAAAATGGCGGTGCACATCTGGACTTCCGCGCCAGAGACGGGATGACGTCCCTGCACAAGGCCGCCCGGACCAGGAACCAGGTGGCCCTCAAGGTAAATGTCCCCCTTAGCCTGGAAGGGGGGCCCTGCTCGCTTTCCCCACGCCCAGGAGTCATGCGTGGTGCCTCAGTGAACCGTGGCCTCTGCAGCTCACGGAAGTGCTCTCTGGCTTCCGTTTCAGTCAGAGGGCTCCTCAGTCCGACTGTAAGGCCACAGGGAAACATGACCGCAACCACTGGAGGAGCCCCCAAACCCAGGCCGTGGGCATCCGGCCAGCCTGCCTCCCGAAGGCCAGGGGTGTGGATGGCAGCCCTTGTCTCCCAGCACTGCCCGGGTGCTGGCACTGTCTGCCTGCCGTACTGGGCATGCTCCACGTGTGCACTTCAGTGATGTCAGTTCCGTTCACCAAGCTGTGTCATCGCCACAGCTGCTTCTCAATTTCTTCTTCCTCCTCAACGCAGCCCCTTGTCCAGTAACGACCCCTTCCTCCTCCCTGCAGCCCTGGTGACCATGGGCGGACTTTGGGGTCTCAGTGTTTGCCTGATATTCCTTCTCTCTCTCGCTGCCTTGACTCATAGCTAACCCTCAGGTGGGTTCCTGAAGCTGTTAATCTCACGGGAGGAGATGGCTGGTGGACGTGAACCTCTAAAGAAGTGTGAATTACATCAGCAGCGTAATTCCCTACTGATTACACCCAGAGTCCCTGATACATTGTGGCTGTGTGCTGTCGAGTCAGAACCGACCACAGCTGACCCTCCAGTGGCGTTTCAGAGGTTAATTGCACAAGAGGAGACTGCCCATCCTTCTCCCACAGAGCAGCTGATGGATTCGAACCACACACCTTTGTGATTGCAGTTCAGCTTCTTGCCACGAGGCCACCAGAGTTCCCTGATATGAGTGGGACTGAACAGTGTTTTGGTGCCTGGCTTGTCTCAATACCCGGTTTACAAGGTCCACTTGTATTGTAGCACAAAGCAGGACTTCATTCCCCTGCAGGGTGAAGCTGTATCCCAGTGTGGGTGGACTGTTGTGTTCACCCTTCTGCCTGTTGGTGGGCACCTGTGTTATCCCCCTATTGTGACCATGAGACGTCCTGCAGTGGACACTGATGTACAAGTGCAGGGTGCTCGTGTGGTGGCCGAGTGGAGCAGAGTGCCCAGTGGCCTAGGGCCCAGCACGATGGGACAGCCCACACTCAGCAGTGCTGTCAGGGACCTGGTGGCGCTGTAGGCAGGCCCCAGAGACGGCGCCCTCTCTGAAGTCACAGACAGGAGTCCCTGCTTCCTGTCAGCTGCACTTTTCCAGTTATCCTCTTCAGAAATCACAGTGTTTGATTCCTGGCTTCGGAAGCCCGTGGAGCCTCTCTGTGTGCCACCTCCTGGGGGTCTAAGTTTGCGCATCTTTGCAGGAGCTGATCCTCTCATCCTTCTCCCTCTGAGATTCCGGTGGATTTGAACCAATGACCTTTTGGGTTGCAGCTCAACTCCTTAGCCCACTGTGCTCCCAGGGCTCCTTATTTACAGTCCATGGGATTAAGGTTTCTTTCTCTTTGAATCTTTTGTTGTAGTTTGGATGAAAGTTTACCGAGTTTAACTTCCCTGTCAACAGTTTACACGATTCTGTTCATGGCAAGAGTCGTAGTCCCCTCAACACGGCGGCACTTTCCCTGCTTCCTCCTGGGCTTCCCAGCTCCATTTGTCTTCTTTCCTGCCCTTTCTTGTCTTCTGGGCTTTCTCCCCGGGCGAATGCTGCCCTTTTCCTCTGAGGAGCAGGCGCCTCTTGGTGTAAATGATCTCTTCCTAGGCTTGTCCATTGATTGGCTGAAAGCCATTCCCCCAAGATCAGAGTTCAGTTCCAGGCCCTGGGTGCCGGGTTATGATGCCAGCTCCCTCATTTGGGGGCACAGTTGAATCCATTACAGATCATACCTGTGTTTTCTCTCCAGACCCTTCTAGAGCTCGGAGCATCACCAGATTACAAGGACAGTTACGGCTTGACCCCGCTGTACCACACGGCCATCGTTGGGGGGGACCCCTACTGCTGTGAGCTCCTGCTCCACGAACACGCCTCCGTGTGCTGCCGGGACGAGAACGGATGGCATGAGATCCACCAGGTGTGGCTGCTCTCCACTCTGCTTCTGCCCCGGTGGCGTCTCCACCCACCTGTCCCTGCGAGGTCGGGCCAGCGTCCAGGCGAGCCCCGTGACACCCCGCCCCACAGCCCCCGAGCCTCTGAAGGGCAGGCTGAGTAACCGACACGTAGGACTAGCAGTGTTCCCACCCAGCCAGGCGTTTTAGACGTCCCTGGGCAACTGGGAAGGTGCTAACTATTGTGTCATATCCCCAAATATATGTAGCTGTCCTGATGCTGGGCTGCTAACTGAAAAGTCAGTGGTTCAAATCCACCAGCAGCTCCAAGGGAGAAGGACGGGGCAGTCTGTTAACGCTAGGATTTGCCAGCCATGGGTTTAGTTTTTTTACTTAAAGGCTGTGGTGGAAACCACCCCCTATTCTCTGGGGTGGAGGTCCCACCTGGGAAGTCGGGCTCTTCGTTATGTCATATGACGAGGGAGGATAGAAGGAGAATTGATGCCTTATCTGTGGTGCTGGAGAAGAGTATTGAATATACCATGGACCGCTAAGAGAACAAACAGGTTCAACCTAGAGAGGGTGAAACCGGGTTGCTCATTGGAGGCAAGGATTCTGAGGCTTCATCTGACTTTGGACAGGTTGCAAGGAGGGACCAGTCCTGGGAGAGGGACGTCATGCTTGGGAGGGTGGAGGGACAGCGCAGGAGAGGAAGACCCTCAGACCCTCGATGAGATGGATTGATTCAGTGACTGGTTAATCCAGTTATGTGTGTTGGAGACAATAAGATTGGCACAGACAGAGCAGGGTTCAGACCTGTTGTAGAATCGCTATGAGTTGCCGGCGACTTGACGGCACATAACAACAACAACGTTGTTTCATGAGGTCGGGTTGACTGTCTAGTTCCCGTTGCTGTGGAGTCCACCACTTGGTCTTGGGCAGGTTTCCTGGGGTCAGATACTCAGAGGTCATCGCCAGGCATTTCTTCTGAGGCACTTTAAGGTGGACTTGATTGTCCAAGATTCTGGTTAGCTGCCACAGGCTCACTCATTTATGCCACCATCTGACCGTGTCAGTGCAGGCGTGGCCTGTCCCTTGCCACCATCTGACCACATGTCAGTGCAGGCGTGGCCTGTCCCTCGTCACCATCTGACCATGTCAGTGCAGGCGTGGCCTGTCCCTCGTCATGTAGAGAACCATGGGGCATAAACAGGGATAGTAGACACCATGTGTAGATGGAGGAGCCAAGGACCACAGGCAGGGGCTGCAGAAGCGGAAGGAGGGAAGGGCCTGCACCCGGAGCCCCCTGGCGGAGAGGTAGCATCCCCTAGAGCCAGCGGTCTGAATTCTGACGTCCATCCTTCTGCACTGAGACAGTAATTCTGCCTGTGATGGCCACCACGTGTGGGCTTTCTGCTCGGGAATTCCAGGGCACCTGGCAGAGGGACAGGCAGGCTGCAGCTTTCCTGCATGACGATTGTTAACTGAAGTCGAGGAGTGATTGCCCTTGTGGGGGGCTAGGAGTCCATCAGACCCCCACCATCCAGGTCACTTATAGAGCAGGCTAGCCAGTGCCCTGGGCAGCACAGGAGGCCAGCGTGATGCCAGCATGTTCAGCGCCTGGCATGTGTTTTCCACACCCGCCATGTATGCAGTGGTGGGCAAGTCAGTGATGGCCAGAGGCCTCCTAGGTCCCTTCATGGGTCAGGACCAGGTGGTGGGGTTAAGGGTTACAGCACTCAGAAACAAGGGACACCATTGCCACCTCAATAGCTGAGAAGATAGGGCTCTGGGAGAGAGGCCACCACAGGGGCCAGGTGGCCAGTGGGGACAACTCTCTCAGAAAGACTGCTCAGGACAGGAATTGGTACTGCAGTCGCTCTCTTCTCCTGCTCTCCATTGGCTGAACGTGGCAGAATCAGCCAATCAGAGTGCCCCATGTGTGGCTTCCAAGCGTGGTTCTGGGCACAGCAAGGAGTGTGGTCCACGGGGGAACAGCCAGGACACCCATCAGGAGATGAAGGGGAAACTCTGGGGAGGAAGGAGGCTTTGGACTGGTCACTCTTATGGCCTGTAGGTAGCAGCGACTTCTGTTTCTGAGGTCACCTGTTGGCTTCTTTCACCCAGCACCCCTAAACACCTGCAATGAGTGAACTGTGGTCCAAGCATGTGCTGGGGTCCAAGCCCTCTACCTTTGGCTGCGCTCATCCTGGGAGGAGGGTTTCCTTGTGCTCACGAGGCCACAGTGGTGTGGGTGGGTCCTAAACCTCATCACCTTCAAGTTGTGGAAAAGGCAGGTGAGGCCTCGACTCACACACGGGGACACAGACACCCCAGGAAGGTAGTTACAGCTGGGACTGAGGACCAGGTGGGACTGAGGACCAGGTGGGACTGAGGACCAGGTGGGACTGAGGACCAGGTGGGACTGAGGACCAGGTGGGACTGAGGACCAGGTGGGCATGGGTCCCGCTGAGCTCCTGATTCACCCGTCTAGCCCCTGAGCTGTGATCTGGGTGTCACAGCAGCACTGGGGCAGTGGACAGGACTGGGGGATGGGGTGAGTGTCTGTACGTGTGTGCGGTACACATCTGTGTGGTGTGTGTATCCTGTATGCATGTCTGCTTGTGTGTGGTACACATCTGGGGTGGGGGTGGGGGTGTATGTCCGTGTAGCCCTGACACACTTGCTGTGAAGCCGGCTCTATGCACAAGCTTGCAGGTCCCCCAGTAGCCCAGTTCTGTCCCTGAGTCTGGCACCTGGACATGGAGTATAGCTGTCCCAGAGCTGCTGGTCACTGTGGTCTTCATGCCACCACAGCACCGCGTTGGGTGTGGCAGCTTTCCCTGGGCCTGTGGCTCCTGGTTCTGGCGTGGCTCCCAGGGACGTCGGCATCCTGGGCAGCTTGAGCTTGGACTTGCTTTGTGCTGTGTCCCTGCCCTCTAGTGGCCAGTCTCTCCTCAAGTCTGGGAGGACCACACATTCCTACAGAGTCCACTGACCACGTGGAACAACCTGAGCCCTGGGTGGACAGTGCCATCTTACGCCCACCTCTTCCCCGTGACTGCCCACCGCCAGCAGCCACTGCCCCAGTGGTGCCTCCTCTCCTCTTTCTCTGTCTTCTGCCCCCTGTGGAAGGGCCGTGGTCATAGCACAATAAAAAGGTCAGCAGTTCACATCCACCGGGAGAAGGATGGGCATTTGCTTTAGAAACATGACGGAGCACTGCAGTGGGTTATGGTTTGTGGGACCCTCCTGGCGGATACCAGTTCTCGACTCCAGGTCTGTGAGGAGTAAGTCTGGCCGCGGGAGGCGGAGCGGCTTGCCAGCTCCCACAGAGCGTACCTCATCAGGTTCACTCCTGATCGAGCCTTGAGGCTTCAGCCAGAAGACAGTTTGATTCTGAATTGGTGGCAGGAGGAGACCCAGGGATAAACGGGCTTCTCTCTGACCCTGTATAGTTCCCGTGCTTGGAGATCCTGCATCTGAGTCTGTCCATCTGTTGTTAGCACCGTGCACACTCAGGCCCCCGTGTCCAGGGTTCCCCTCAGCCCGCTGGCCCTCTATTGATTCTTACGTGTGCAAAAGCTGGACAGGGGATAAGACCAAGAAAGAATTGATGCCTTTGCGTTGTGGTACTGGCCAGGAGAGTAGAACATCTCACGACTGCCGAGGATCAAGGACGTTTGTCCTGGAGCAAGTGCGGCCATGGTGCTCGTCGAGGAAAGGATGGCAAGACTTGGTCTCACAGGCTGTGGGTGTGCTGTCCGGAGGGGCCAGTCCTTGGAAAGTGGACGGTCAGAGGAAGAGAGGACCCTCCGTGGATGGACCGGCGCAGTGAATGTCACCGTGGGTGTGGTGGATGCTGACACCGGATAGGACAGGGCTCCATTCTGTTGTGTGCGAGGTCACCAGCACTCGGAGTCCACTCCAGGTCACCAGACAATGACAGGAGACGCCCTCCCTCTTGCTGTGGTGTTAAGGCTGGGATTTAACACCAGGGTCCAGCAGATGGCAGTAAAGTGCTTGAAGGAAGGTGACCCCACTTTCTTGTTCTACACCGAGTGATTGATTGATGGATTGTGGGGCTCACGCTCGGTGTGACTGGGGTGAGCCTGGGATCTGGGGGCATCAGTGGTACCACCTGCACACACCCACTCCTCACCCAGGAAATGAGAGAGCACATATGGGGTGGGTCCTTGTACTTGTTCTAAAAGCACCTTGGGAATGTGGTTGGGACACCCGAGGGAAATCTGAGGTGCTTGTTTCTCTCACCAACTGCTTTCAAGTTGACTCAGAGTCCTGGCATCACCATGTGTCATTGTGTGGTTGTGCTCTGTGGGGTTTCAACACCAGCCTTTCAGAAGTTCTTCCTTCCTACCCACTTCTGGGTGGACTTGAACCAACAACCTTTCAGGTGGGAACAGAGTGAGAACTGTAGGTGCCTCCCAGGGGCCTGGTGCAGTTGAGGGGAGGTGGTCAGAATCCAAGGCAGTGTCTTGGACTTTGTGTAGTCTGTATTCTGACCTATACGCCGTTTGTCCTTCGCCCTGCACTCCACCCTCCCCAGCTGTCTCCAGACGTGCTGACACCACTCAACCTTTGAGAACCACCGCCAGGCTAGTGTTGCTTCTCCTGTGGACACAGTGGTCACCTGAAGTTTGCAAAGCTGCAAGGCCTCTGGATCAAGCAAGCGCTGCCTTTTAAATAGTTATTGTTTAATTGCAACTCATCCTGAATTTATTTCAGTTCTAAACTTGGAGAAGAGTTTCAAGGTCAATGTAGAGAACCCCATGCCCCCCTTGATCAGAAACAGCATCCCAGTCCCCCCGTCCCTCGTTATAGTAACTCACAGTGTGACTCACAGAAACTCTGCTGACAGAGGAGACCCATTAGGCTCTCCAGGGCTTCCAGCCTTAATGTGCTGCCTCATCTCCTCGGGAACAGCCAGGGGCTTCTAACTGCCAAACATGCACTTGGCAGCTACACATTTGAGCTACTGCACCCCCAGAGCTCCTTCATCACCGGT